AGTGCTAACTCTCAATTGTTGTTTTTGCAGTTGTTATTTGGCTGCAACTATGCAGGTTATGTTCTCTACACGTGGGTTTTGTTCTCGGTCGGTATTCTGGACTTTTAGATCTATATTAACCTTTGACTTTGTATAAGCTATAATAGTTTGTGATTGTTTTGTTGGAGATTTATTTTTTCTACTTTATGTTCTCTATAGATATTATTTGGATCAGAATTTGAAGTCTGCGTTTGATGCTGCTCCAGCTGATCCAACTGTAGACCTAAATGCACAACTGTAAGTTGACAGCTTGAAGCATATTAAGATATAGCCGTTACTGCAACATAGCAACATTCTTGACATAATGTAAAAGAGCTACTGGGGAGTGTCTCCTTTCTCTGGCATTGCATGGTCTGATAGTTTCTTTGTTAAATAGTTCCTTTTATCTGTATTGGATGTTATAACATTTCTTTCTTCTTTGTAGTTGGTAGGGTACTGGTGGTAATGTCTCTGAAATGCACTTGACATTCATATAGTGACAAAGATAGTGTATAAATTGCTTTAACTCGCTGTAATTCTCCTTATTATTGATTGAGAAATTCCTCACTTTTCAGAACTAAGCTAGCTCATGGGTTGCTTTCTGGTCAATATTCTGTTCCGGCTACAAAGGTATGCTCGATGTTAAGGGTTTTTTTATTTTTCATTTTCCTTCACCACTCTATTGATGCAGACTAAGAGTACTCTGCTTTTCTCTGCCAGCTAGATAACACAGGAGATGCACCGCAGGCGACATTGATTGCTGTGAGACCTTATTCATTTAGTGTTGTCGTTATCTATTTGTTTACATTGATTGCTGTGAGAACTTATTCATTTAGTGTTGTCATTTATTTATTATTTTTTCCTGTTGGATCTATCAGTCTTGTCACCATCTGTGGTTTAGTTTGTAGCGGAGCTTGACAGAAATAATCCACAAACTGTGAAATGCTTTCTATTGTTCTGATAAGAGTATTTGACATATGTTGAACTTTTATAAAATGCATTCTGGCTCTCCAACCCTGAGTGTTTTACTGCCTTTGATTTCAGAAACAAGAAGGAATTCCTCCTCGCATGTTCAAGTCTGTAATTGCTGCAAAGCATCCTGAATTTTCGACTATGAGACAACAGGTGTTCGCAACTTTAGAATCCTATTTACAACTAATTATCTTTCAGATAATAATAGTATGTGTATACAAACATTCTTATGGTATCTTATTAGTGAATTGCCACTTCCCATAAATTTCCCATTTGTCGCACGAACTTCACCGTGAGTTGTAACTTGCCTCCCAACATTCTGAAGTAGTTAGATATCACATCCGTTTGATAGAACTAATTTTGTGAATCGACTATGAAGTCTGTGGTTTCTCACTGTCCTGTAGTTTTATGTATAGTTGACAAATAACTGTTTTACTTTGCTGCTTAGGTATTGTATGAGCTACAGAATGGAACATTGCATCACCTTCAAGAACTTCTTTTTTTTTTTTTTTTAGTTTCTTCAGTGTTTTGTATGATTGTGTATCATATACAGTGTTGTCTGACAAGGTTCTTTTGTCTAGGATGCTCTTGAGTTCTTCCTGCATCTTATTGACCATGTTGAGCGGGTCAACACTGGGAATCCCATGTTGGACCCTTCAAGGAGTTTTAAGTTTGGCATAGAAGAACGATTGCAGTGCCCCTCAGGAAAAGTTGCATATAACCGGAGATATGATTATATTCTTTCGCTTAATATTCCTCTGCATAAAGCTACAAACAAAAGTGAGTTCAGTTCAGTATTAATATGCTATTATGTGTCTTGATTAGGATAGAATATCCTTTTAAGACCACATTTCCTTCTTGTCAGGGGAATTAGATGATTTTCGGAAGTTGAAAGCTGAAAAAGATGCAAGAGGAGAAGAACTGTGAGTTAAAATATACATACATGTTATTTTCTTGTTTATCCGTTTCTAAGTAATTTGTTTGGACCAGTACGCCCAAAGAAATTGTCCGCCCAAGAGTGCCGTTGATGGATTGCTTGGAACTTTTTTCTACTCCTGAGGAGTTGCATGATTTTTACAGCAGTGCTTTGAATTCTAAGACAACTGCAATTAAGTAAGCTTTTCTAGAGTTTTATTTCTTTGTCCCCTTTGTATCTCCAGCGTAATTTCTGACATACAATGAATGGTACTGCAAATAATCACGCGGACTGTACTGCGTAGTGCATAGACTTTAAGCTGTATGTTTGGTCCCTTATTTAATGTACATGTTTAAAGTGTCTTTTACACGTCCCTGACAGAACTGCAGGCCTGACATCATTTCCTGATTATCTGGTATTGCACATGAGAAAATTTGTGTTGGAGGAAGGATGGGTACCGAAAAAGCTTGGTGTGTAGTGTGTACTCATGTTGCTATTTTATTCTTTACTGATGTAATTTGTTAAAGTTCTGCTGCTCACAGTTATTTATTGCTTTCATTTTCTCTTGTTTTTGTTGGATATCTTAGATGTCTATATAGATGTTCCTGATACCATAGATATTAGTCATATGCGCAGCAAAGGTCTTCAACCATGGGAGGAATTGTTGCCTGAATCTGGTACGTGTTCTCTATATGGTTCTCCTTTGATTTTTTGAATTTATCTTTAATAGTTCTGAAAGGAACTGAACCTGGTTATGTATCAATATTTCTTTCTTTGACTGTGATTAAGAATCGATATTGTGTCTTCTTGAAGCATAGATAAACTGTCTCGTGTTTCTTACTGCCTCAGGTTGTGCTTTATGATACAATTTTGCTTTGGTTGCTCCTTCAGTCTACTTCTCATTCTAAAGTGTTCTTGAGGTTATTACTTGGGATATTGTGGATATTTGAAACCCAAAATTATGCGGTTTCCACCGAATAAAAGTGAAATCTGTCCAATAGTCTTAATTCATCTCTTGGAAATGAGAAGCCTTGCAGAATGAAAAATAGTTTGCCTTTCAGTTACAAGTTTAGGGTTTGAGTAAGACCTTTTGACTTATTCTTGCAAGCTTGCTTTAGCAACTGGGTGAGTGGTTGCTACTGTGGTACGTTGTAATGGACCACTGTGGTTCCTCTACTTATTTATGTTCTGATGGAACTCTGTATTCTCTGAGCTATTGCATTACTTTTTACCTTTATTTTCAAGGGAATAAAAGGATTTATATATCTACATATGCTTTGAGATTGTTATTATTCAATTTTCATGTAAATCTGTAGCTCCAGAGGATTCTGGAATAAGTGCCAATGAGGACATTGTTCAGCAACTTGTCGCAATGGGATTTCAGTATAATCATTGCCTAAAGGCTGCTGTCAACACCTCCAATTCTGGACTGGAAGAAGCAATGAATTGGTTACTCAGCCATATGAATGATCCAGGTATTGCACGTCTGCTAGTATTGCAGAGTTTATGTAATAGTTCTTGGTTTATCATATTGACACTTGAAAATTTTCATCAGACATTGACGAACCCATCAGAAAGGCACAGAATAGTGCTCCATACGTCGACCCGTCTAAAGTTGAAACTTTAGTATCTTTTGGTTTCGAGGAAGATGTAGCTAGGAAGGCACTACAAGCATCGGTAAAACACTTCACCTTTCATTTTTTCTCTTTAATTTAATTTTCTAGAGGAAACTAAAATTTTATACTGTTTAATGCCAATTGTCATATTTTTTACAGGATGGTGATATTGAAAAAGCTACTGAATGGATTTTTAACCCACCTTCTGGTATCTCTAGTATGGATGCTACACCTAGTAACAGTGGAAATGTGGCTGAGGCTCCTTTGCCTGATGGAGAAGGAAGTAAGTTCTTCACGTTTGTATAATTCTTATGAGCTTCTAACGCTTTCTCTACCATATTTTGAACAGATCCTCTGTCGATAGTCTAGTAACTTGGGTTGTGATACTTCTAGTCTGTTCCAAATAGTTACATACCTAGCCTATGTTGGACATGGTCACCATTAAATTTATTCTTCCCACAATGTTCGTTTGCGGATTATAAGTCCCTTAGTAGCCTAGAACTCATCAAAGGTTAAAAAGTGGAAACTTATTGTGATCGCTGAATTTCATAGTTTTTGTCTGATGTTCGTAACAAAAAGAAGGCATCAACTCCTCCAGTTGTATCCTTCAATTGTTTTGGCATTATGAGTTTAAGGATATGAGAGACGAGTGGATGTTTGGTGTTGTAAATGTTCATGGAGCAAGTGCTTCTAAATTCATGTGTTCATGTACTTTTTGTACTTAAAACTTTTTTGTTACCTTGCCAGGATACCGGCTCATTGGATTAGTGAGCCACATTGGCACATCCACGCACTGTGGGCATTATGTTGCACATATTTATAAAGATGGTAGGTGGGTGATTTTCAATGATGAGAAAGTGGCTCTTTCCAAGAATCCGCCTCTCGACATGGGATATTTGTACTTCTTTGAGAGGATTAATGGCTGAACTGAAGTAAATACCAGCTGCTGGACACTAGTGATATTCAAAAGCTTGAGGAAAAAAAAAAACATTATTTGCGAAGTTTTTTGGAACTTTCAAAGCTTATGCTACTTTTCTTGATTGTCCTTGACCCAATACGGGTGGCCGCCCAGGGGATGCAAGAGATGCTCTTGTGAAAATACTCTGTTCAACTTTGAATTGATATTTGCCTTTTACAGACTAATTTGTTCACACATGGTGCAACTACTATCGGGCATAGACAATGGTTCACATGAAATTGTAGTACATGATACTGCTTTTGTTCTGCCTCCGTGTTTTCCTCACTATTTACTCGGTGCTTTTCAATGTTCTTTTAGGGATACAAACATTTTGCCCTTTAGTTTTCATGAAATTTGCTACTGTAATATAAATATATATTTTTGAGGTATGAACCAATTAGATCATGATGCGTGTTCACACCACATGAGCATTTGATTTCCCTGAGATCTTCTTGAAGGCTCGACCAACTCTAGGTCGATTTGAGGTAAAACACTGATCGCTCTGAGTCTGTGTCTTGGTTACCATATGTTGATGTAGGTCGAGTTTTGACCAGGCTGCCCAAGGACTCTACTCGACCTACTCTTCATGTACTGAAATCCCCTTTAAAGTATCTTTCCGATCCAGAGGCGTTCAACCACAACCACTCTGCACGAATTCTGTTCGACCAAGTGGATTGTTCGGCATATTCGATCGACTTGCTTGACGATATAGTATCCCATATCAACGATGCTCTTTCCCTTAGAACGTTTGGCTTCGGGCACCAATTTAAAGTTATGTTGATCGGGGGAGCTCACTTTTTCCAGCCGGAGCCTTATTGACTAGGCTTTTTGGAGGAATGAGGGATCTCGACATCTGCAATTCAACTCATCACCTTCGTAGCCTCGACCTCTTTAGAGTTGGCTGTAGAACCATCTGATTGTTTCTTAGTCGTGGAAGAATGACTTGAAGCATCACCCTCGAAGGGCTTCTTTTGCTTTTTCACTTTGAGTGTTGAAAGTAACAATTTGCAAAAGAAAGGAATGATGAGAACAGAAAATAAATACTTATATATCAGGATAGGGAAAAAGACGACCTATCTAGTGGTTTAAATAAACACTTATATATGTTAGAACATAAAAAAAAAAAAAAATCGACCTACCGAGTCGGGTATAAAAGGAGCATCGCTCTCTTAGGTTATACCACACTAATGTCGCTATGTGGGATCCATAATCATCTTGCGGGCACTCCTCGAGGAAGAAGGAAGCAAACAACTATCAGTTTTCTCCAAGGGCTTAAGGCGATCTTCCTCGCCCCACAATCTTCGAAGAAACAACTCTTTCAATCCCAACAGGTCTTCTTATTCAATTCATTTATCATCTCTAGGAATTAAATAGATCACGATTTATTACATTGAGAAACCTTCTCGGGTAGCCAGGAGTTGGTAAAAGAATAGTACTCAGATGGATGTCGAACAAAGAAAAATTTCGATCTCCACTCAGTGACATTGGAGGAAAAGTCCTCTAAGAAAGTAGCCCCGCTACGACGACCTAAATAGTATCCCTTTTTGGAACTTTTACCCGTAACAATAGCAGAAAAATTTAGGTGAGAAACTCCCGGAGTTTTATTTTGGAATCATGATGAAGGAGCCCGTGATACAAATGGCGTTAGGAGCAAGTTGATTAATTGAAATATTGTACAAGTTGTTAAGCGTCATCTGCTCGTAATGAATAGAAAAACGGAGACCCAAGAGTATCTGGTGAACAAAAATGGTTTAGTATGACCTAGAGCCTGCTATCTCGACTGCAGAAGCATAACAACCGGATCTAGAGTTGCTTCATTGGCTAAAGGGCAAGCTATTATTATAACAAGATAGTTTAGAACGAGGGGCAGAACAATGCTGGTACAAGAATGGGATTAGCTATATATACATGATTATCTAACACTCTAATGGAAGTACCTCTGAGCAATGGACTCAAAACAAGGAGGCCTAGGAAAACCCTCTTGAGAGCTCGACGTGAGAGCTCGATTATATTCACCCCAGTTGACTTCCCTAGGAATCATTATCCGACTTCTAGAAGGGTCAGGTTGAACTTGAACGAGTTCGTGGCCTACTATTTGGATAGAAGAGTCAGAAGAATCAGAGGTTCATCAACCATACGACTAATTAAGTCATGGGTGCAATCTGTGGTACATTCCAAAATAATAAGTCACAATTAGTACATCAACTAAAAGGGAACTAGAACGTGACTAAGTCGAGGTCGCATTAAATAAGTGAGACGACCTAGGGGACCAAATCTAAACATGACCTACATCAATAACCTAAGTCGACTATAGAGAAACATGAAGATTGCGTGGAAATTAAAGTAAATGAGAT